ACGGAAAAAAGACAAAAGAAAAAAAAAGAAAAAAAAAAAAAAAAAAAGAGGTAGAGTCAGGAGAAATCTTGAAGATGGCTGAAGAGGCAGTTCCCAGCGTCACTCTCCCCCACAAATCAACTAATTTACAACTATTAAAAAGCAATGGAAGCCAAGCTGGGGCTGCTAGAGCTCAGGGGAAGAGGAGGAGGTACCTACAGAGTGCATGAAGGCAGGAGAAGCCACCAGGAGAGAAAAAATTCCCACAATTTTGAGCCCCAAACGCTTCAAGGCTGGCCTGGCAAGTGCACGGAGCAGGAACTGGCTAAAGCTGCAGCTGTGCCCTTTCTATGAAGTTGCTTGGAGGCTGCAGGGGAGAAGAGGGCCTTGGTGGCCACCAGGCCAGCAAGACCACTAATAGGGTTCCTGTGAACCCACATCGGAGCAAGGAGCCACAGACAACTGAAAAAAGAAGCCACTCAGAGGCCGATGAGTCATTGCAAGAGACCGGGAGTATGGCCCGTCCCATGGGAAGTGTTTGGAGTGTGGGCAGTCGGGGGATGGGCCACTGGGGGAACACTGGGACACAGCATGGACAGCTGATCTGCCCCCCAGTCAGTGCAGGACCACTCAGTGGAGGCTGGTCAGGAATACAGAACTGCAGGGGGTGCAGTTTGCTGAAAAGACTCAGGCCCAGACCACAGTTTCTACACAACCCAGGTGTAATGGACTGAATTACGTCCCCACAAAATTCACTGAAGTTTGAATTGTGTCCCCCAAGTTTTATGTATTAGAAACTTAGCCCCCACTGTGACTGTTAAGAGGGTGGGAAATCCTATTATGGTAATTGAAAAATGGAGCTTTGAAGAAGTGATTGGATTGTAGGACCATGAAGTAGTGAATGAATTAAAAATGGTGGTCAGTAGAGTGGTTCTGAGGGCTTTAAAAGAAGAACAGAGTCTGTTTGTCTCTCTGCTCTCTCTGCTTCAACCACCTTGCAATGTGATACCCCTGGATCACTGTTGCCACCACCAGATGGACTTTGGACTTCCCAGCCTCAGAAACTGTAAGCAATAAATTTCAATCTCTTTATAAATTACCCAGTTCCATGTATTCTGTTATAAGCAACAAAAATGGACTAATACACCAGGTGAACCAGACCTCATGAGACCCAGAAGTACCTATGAAGTCAATCATTAAAACTTGAGCCGCACAAAAAGCCTTCCCCAGAGAAGAAGCAGCAAAGCAGCAATTTAGCTCAACCACAGAGCTCAAGTGTTGGTCCCCACGGGAAGTTCCCCCATTTTAGAACTAAGCAAAGGACAGCAAATTAGTTCCAGTGCAGAGTTTAAGTGGTGTTAACAGTGAATAATCCAACACAGAACTGAAATTTAAAAATTTTAAAAACCTACAGATCAGAGACAAAGTTCTGATATTAACCAGTAAAGATCTAACACGACCAAAGAACACCTGCAAAACCTAAAAGGACCGGAAGCCCCACAGGCTCCCAAGCTGGGGTGGAGGGTGAGGAGGGCCAAAGGCCTCAGCCATCCCCCACCCCCCATGTCCACATCCAGCCCAGCTACGACCACTGAGCTGCCAGAGGAAGTGCCCCGGGCTCCTGAGCTGGGGTGGAGGACGCTGAGGGCCTCAGTCACAGCACCCCAACGTCCACATCTAGCCCAGCAATGACCACTAAGCCACCGCTGGAAGCACCCTGGGCTCCCCTGCTCTAATGAAAGGGGTGCTACTGGCCTTGACCATGCCCTCCCATCCTCTTCCTCCCACCCTATCCCCCTCTCTTTTCCCCTCTCTGCCTCCCCCTTGACTGCTCTACAACATCTTAGAATGTAAAAAAAAAATTTTTTTTTAAATAAAAATAAAAAGAGGTAGAATCAAAACTGGAGCCTTGCTGGTAGGCATTTCATAAAACGTAGTTCCTAGATTTCTAGTCTAGCTTTGGAGGCTGGGAAGTCCACAGCCCAGGGAACACATCTGGTGAGGTGACTCTATGGCAATGCAGGGTGTCACGTGGTGAGAATGGCGGAGCAGAGAGAGCAGTAAAATTTACAAAAGCAAAAAAAATACTACACTGAACAGAATGAACATTTCTTTGGCACTTAGGAGTTACTTCATTCAGCATATTTCAGGACTTGACTATCACCAACAGAACCGAGACTTCCAAGGAAAGGAGAGATGCAGGGTTTGCAAAATTTAAGATAAATCAGCTTTGTGTCTACTCGGCTGCTTCTGATAATTTAGTGTCAGTGAAATTTAGTGAAAAAGTAGAAATGATAGCTATTAATTTTACAAATCTATACAGCTAACCAGGGGAAGCTGTGTGCTCGACAGTGAGCCACCTGGCTATTTCAGGGAGTGTAGACATAGGCAGCACGGGACAACTGGGTCACCATGAGAAGAAAGGAGGGCACCACAGACAAGCCGCAACTTGGTCAGCTCCATACACACTGTTAAGCTCAGCTCCATACACACTGTTAAGCCTCCCTGGCCCAATTTGGGTCTGTCACTTAGGTCCCTGGACTCAACCCTCGACAACTATGCTAAAGAACCAAGTATAGACTGAGAAGGGAAACCAAGCCTTTATTTAGGGAACAAACACTGTCAGTTTTCACTGTGATGGCAGCCATTAATCATCGCCAATATACAAACTACAAGTATCCGTCGGCATTCCTCTGTTCTCCTTTTCAAAGCATTCTAGTGAATATTGGATGCTATGACCTTCCTAAGTCTTCTAAATTTCCAAGCATTCTAAACAAGAAGAACTGAATACATGACCAGGCAAGCACTGGGTTTAGTCATGAAGCGGGTTAGAAGCTTGGCACAGCTACTCAGCACGAGAAGCCCAGACACCACGGCAGCTGCTTTAGGCCTTACCCAGGCTCTGCAATCACACCTTCCGGTTATGTTATGAAATACACAGGAATATCCATTCATGCAAAAAGCCTTTTCTTTACACCCGAGAACACAGACTGTTTCTGAGCTATAACATTACAGTTCTTCCTTCAAGACAACACTGGCACTTATAAAATCTTATTAAAACTCTGTGGTATGTTCAGCTCAGCACTTAAATGCCTGCCATTAAGAAAACTCCTTATGTGATTGAGCCGATGTTGAAAAAATGTGATTTCCTCAGACTTACAAAATGCTTCTAAAAAAGTATCTTTAAAAATTCAAATTGTTAAAGAACCTTGACCGATTAGGTGAAAGAAGTTAA